ATTTGGAAAAGTTGGAAGTTCTCTTTTTAGAAAAACGGTGCAAATATAAATTTGTCAAAAATGGGGGATATTCATCTTTATCTGGTAGTCTACCACCACTCCACTTAAGTGTTGTTTAAATATGATTTATCTTTAAACCGGTCATAAAGGGATTTATCGAGATCTTTATCACTATGTTCAATAAATTTTAAAATATGTTTATGAATTTCATTTCTTAAAAATATATTATTCCAAACTATATATAATAATCTATAATTAAAAGCATATTAATTAGTTTTTTCTCTTTTTAACTATTTATTAATCTATTATTTATATTATTTTATGTATTGTATTATATTGTATTATACTTACCTATCACTAATATTATAGCTGTTTTTTAACTCTTCATTTACGCGAAAGTTAATTAGAGATGATAGTAGTTTATTCATTGTTAGTATAAAAATTAATGAATAAAATTAACATTTCTTTTTTATAAATTGAATTTTTTAAACAAAATGTAAAAATTTTTTGATAAAAATTTTTTTTTTTAACCCTTAAATTTGAAGAAATTTTTTTTTTTAACCTTAAATTTGAAAAAAAAAAAAAATAAATTTTTTCTTATAAATTTTTTTTAATAAATTTTTTAAAAAAAAAAGCAAAATGTTTTTTTGTAATAATACATAAAAAATATGATTTTGAGTTAAAATAAATAAATATATTATTAAAATATATTTATTTTAAAGTTTATTTAAAATTTTATAGTTAATTTATTATTTATTATTTATATTCTTTGAGTTTTGGATTATGGAATGCAATATTACAAAATTCATGGAGGAGCACTTTTCACTTTTTTTAGCGAAGCTATAGGAAAAAAAAAAAAAATAAACTAAAAATAGAGAAAAAATTTTAAAATTTTAAAATTTAAAGTGAATTTTATTTGGAATTTAATCATTCCATTTTTGATATATTATAATAATCATAAAATACAGAGTTTTTAACAATATCTACCCTTGAAACATTTGCCCACTCCCTAAGCAAAACACATTGTTCAAAAAATTTTTTTGTTAAATTTATTTTTTTATTATATTTAAATATTGCACTTTATTCAATAACTGCTATTTTATATAAAATAAATTTGAAAAATCCGCTTAACAACTACATTAATAATATATTTTACAATAAATAAAAAAAACAACTGTAAAAAAATAATAATAAAAATATAATTCTACCTTTTTCTTTTGATTTGGATCTGTTGAGGTTTTATTTTAAAAATAAATATAATTATGATAACATATGTTATATTATTCAATATATTCATTTTTGTTTTTGAACTTGAATCATTGAAAATTCATAAAATTTTTTTTTTTTTATTTTGTCATATGAAATTTCCAACATTCTAATTAAAAACATTGATATTACGACGAAATATACTGGACCAAGTGGGAAAAAATAACAAAATATTAAGAATGCTGTTAATGATTTTGATGAGAAAATATTAAATAATATTCTTTTATTTTTATACAATCCATTTAAGGAATAATATCTATTTATAATTCGACCTTTTCTTTTGTTTTTGTTTTGGTTGAGGTTTTTATTATTTAAAATGAAAATAATATTATATTTTTAGCCTAATGGTGATGAACGAAAAAAATAAAAACAATTCAGGAATAAATATAGCATCATAATATTTTACTTATCTTATTAATATGGTTTTGTAAAGGTTATTGAAAGGAAAAAAATATTTATAAATTCAAAAATTTAAAAAAAATTTAAAAAAAAAAAAAAAAATCGTGTGTAATAATTAAAAAAAATAAAAAAAAAAATAAAAAAAAATTTAATATAACATATGATATCATAATTATATTTATTTTTAAAATAAAACCTCAACAGATCCAAATCAAAAGAAAAAGATAGAATACCGTTTGCCCAAGCCAGAAAGCTTATACCAGTAAAGGGGAGAGATCTACTCTGGAGATACTTGCTGAAAGCATTGCCCAAAATTTTCGAATCACAATTCCCGTTCTGTCCAGACAAAGAATCATCAGAACATATATTCTTCAAGTGTCCATCGGTCAATAAACCGGTACAAGAAATAATAAATCAAATCTTAAAAGAAGCTCAGTACGATCCTGTAGTATGGGACGAACACCTATTTACCTAATTGGATAAACCATTCCTAGCAAATTTAATAGCAACTATTTTCGAAAAAATATGATACAGAAGAAACAAGAAAAATCATGAACAATTCACATACGATTTAACATATGAAAGAATACTCAAGAGATTCAAGTTAATCCGCGCAGCAGCATGGGAAAGAGAAGTCAAAAATATTAATAGAATATATAAGAAACTTCAAAATACCCAGCTAGCCAGCGACACCACACAATGAAGATAGTCAACAGGCTAGAGAAGTTTAGCAAGATATGGAACTCAGATATATTTAGAGTGAAAATACCGATACACCTCGAAAGCTACAGAACTCTATCGATGAATTACAAATAAAAATTAAATAAAAAAATTACAAAAAAAAAAATTAATCAACAAAAATTAAATAACAAAAACTAAATAGTCAAAATTAAATTACTAAAAATTCTTTTAAAAATAAATTAATAAAAGTCGTGTTAACCTTTGCACCATTCATATTGAAGGGGTAAGTCAAAAATTCGTGGTTAGCAATTAATACAAAAAAGAAAAAGATAGAATTTTTATTTTTTTACTGTTGTTTTTTTTTTTTTATTGTAAAATATATTAATTTAATTGTTAAAAGGATTTTTCAAAAACTCTGTATTTTATGATTATTATAATATATCAAAAATGGAATGATTAAATTCCAAATAAGATTCACTTTAAATTTTAAAATTTTAAAATTTTTTATATGAATTTTTTCAATTTTTTTCTCTATTTTAGTTTTTTTTTTTTTTCCTATAGCTTCACTGGTTCTAAAAAAAGTGAAAATAGGTGCACTGTTCAGGGTGTCGGTTGGGAAAAAATAGTTTTTTTTTTTTTTTTAGCCGCCGAACGTGAGTTTTGTGTGAGACTATTTGGTAATGTGGCGGGTAGATTTACTTGGTTAAATTTATTACTGAACGTGAGTGTTGTGAGACTATTTGGTAATGTGCCAGGTAGAATTACTTGGTTAAAGTCATGACCGAATGTGAGTGTTGTGAGACTATTTGGTAATGTGCCGGGTAGAATTACTTGGTTAAAATTAGTACCGAATGTGAGTGTTGTGAGACTATTTGGTAATGTGCCAGGTAGAATTGCTCGATTAAAACAATAACCTAATGTGAGTTTTGTGAGACTATTTGGTAATATGCCGGGTAGAATTTCTTGGTTAAAATAATAACGGAACTTGAGTGTTGTGAGACTATTTGGTAATGTGCCGGGTAGAATTACTTGCTTAAAATTAATACCGAATTTGAGTGTTGTGAGACTATTTGGTAATGTGCCAGGTAGAATTACTTGCTTAAAAGCATGATCGAATGTGAGTGTTGTGAGACTATTTGGTAATGTGCCAAGTAGAGTTTCTTGGTTAAAATTACGACCAAATGTGAGTGTCGTGAGACTATTTGGTAATGTGTCGGGTAGAACTACTTGGTTAAAACCATTACCGAATGTGAGTGTTGTGAGACTATTTGGTAATGTTTCAGGTGGAACTACTTGGTTAAAATAACGACCGAATGTGAGTGTTGTGAGACTATTTGATAGTGTGCCGGGTAGAATCACTTGGTTAAAATCATCACCAAGTGTGAGTGTTGTGAGACTATTTGGTAATGTGCCGGGTGGAATTACTTGGTTAAAATAATCACCTAATGTGAGTTTTGTGAGACTATTTGGTAATGTGCCGGGTAGAACTACTTGGTTAAAACAATAACCGAATGTGAGTGTTGTGAGACTATTTGGTAATGTGCAGGGTAGAATTACTTGGTTAAAATAATCACCGAGTGTGAGTGTTGTGAGACTATTTGGTAATGTGCCGGGTGGAATTACTTGCTTAAAACAATCACCGAATGTGAGTGTTGTGAGACTATTTGGTAATGTGCCGGGTAGAATTACTTGGTTAAAACAATAACCGAATGTGAGTGTTGTGAGACTATTTGGTAATGTGGCGGGTAGAACTACTTGGTTAAAGTCATGAACGAATGTGAGTGTTGTGAGACTATTTGGTAATGTGTTGGGTAGAACTATTTTGATTAAATCACCGAGTGTGAGTGTTGTGAGACTATTTGGTAATGTGCCGGGTCGAACTACATGCTTATAACGACCATCGAATGCGAGTGTTGTGAGACTATTTGGTAATGTGCCGGGTAGAACTTCTTGGTCAAAATCATGACCGAATGTGAGTGTTGTGAGACTATTTGGTAATGTGCCGGGTAGAATTACTTGGTTAAAATCATAGCCGAATGTGAGTGTTGTGAGACTATTTGGTAATGTACCGGGTGGAATTATTTGGTTAAAATATTTAAGGAATGCGAGTGTAGTAATTGTGTTTGGTAAAGTTAGAGTTAGCATTTTAGAAGAACCGTACAAATATAAATTTTTCAAAAATGGTGGATATTCATCTTTATCTAGTGTATTATCACGCCAGGTAAGTGTTGTTATATATGATTTATCTTTAAACTTTCTATAACCTGATATATCAAGATTTGCAACGCTAAGTTTAATAAACTTTAAAATATGTTTATGAATTTCATTTCTTAAAAATATATTATTCCAAACTCTATATAATAATCTATAATAAATAGTTAAAAAGAGAAAAAACTAATTAATATGCTTTTAATTAATCTATTATTTATATTTATTTTATGTATTGTATTATATTGTATTATACTTACCTATCACTAATATTATAGCTGTTTTTTAACTCTTCATTTACGCGAAAGTTAATTAGAGATGATAGTAGTTTATTCATTGTTTGTATAAAAATTAATGAATAAAATTAACATTTCTTTTTTATAAATTGAATTTTTTAAACAAAATGTAAAAATTTTTTTTTTATCATTTCATTTGATAAAAATTTTTTTTTTTAACCCTTAAAGTTGAAGAAAAAATTTTTTATAACCCTTAAAGTTAAAGAAAAAAAAAATTTTCTAATAAATTTTTTCTTATAAATTTTTTTTAATAAATTTTTAAAAAAGCAAAATGTTTTTTTGTGATAATAAATAAAAAATATTTCGATTTCCAATATAAAAATATGTAAAAAGACACTAAAAATTCATAAAAATAACAAAAACATATAAAAAAAGAATAAAATTATTTCAAATAATGTTTTTTAAAAAATAGTTCTATTTAAAAATATTAGAAATAATCTAAATAAAATAAATTAAATTTTTTTATAAAAAAAGATTAAACTATTATCAAAGCTCTGTGTTCTTTCTATAATCCTTGTTGTTTTATTATGGTTTCGTTATAGATATTAGGTTTCTATTGATTATTATTGATTACTGATTTTCCTTCTTTGATCCATTTGATTCTTTAATTGTTATATCCCTATATTTTCTATATTTTCTAAATTTTCTTTAATCTTCGATAATTGCAGTTTCACCAATTTTTGAAGTAAAAAATTCATTTTTGTTGAAAATATTTGCTTTTTCGCATTCTGTTATTAATAGTTTTGGCGGCTCTAATAATGGCTCGGTCGATAAAATAAAGGTACCCCAATGTACTCCGAATGACCTTTTACTAGTTAGTTCTTTGTGGATTCTTACGGCTTCTTCAACATTACAATGATGATGCTTCATAAATTCACGAAATTGGTCATATGCACCAATAGGAATTAATGAAAAGTCAAATGGACCATAATGATGACCTATTGATTTGAATAGAGAGTGATGATCGGCTGTATCACCTGCAAAATACATAGTTTTATTTTCACCCTTGACAACCCAACCGCCCCATAAACTTGAATTTCTATCAAACAATCCTCTTTGTGAACCGTGGTTTGCTGGTGTGTATATTAATTTTAAATTATTATTGTATGTAACTTCGTCCCACCAATCCAACTCTTGAACATTTTCGATTCCATTTTTTAAAAACCATGATTTGAGACCTCTTGGTACAAAGAATTTTGGTTTGTATAATTTGTTAATTTCTATTACTGATGGACGATCGAGATGATCGTAGTGTGCGTGACTAATAACAACAAAATCTATTTTAGGTAACTCTTGAATTTTGCATGCTGGATCTCTAATACGCTTTGGACCTATAGGTAAATATGGGAACGGTGTAATATATCTGCTAAATACAGGGTCGGTTATAAATGTGTATCCCTCCATTTGAATTAAACATGTACTATGACCTATCCATGTTGAACGCATTGTCTTTTTAGCATCGTATTCTTTTTTAATTAAACTGAAATCTGGTTTTAACACTGGATGAACATGTTCTTTTTCGTGATCTGTTAATGGTTTAATTTCGATCTTGTTTCTTTCCTTTAAATATCCATAAACATCTTTAAACCCTACTAATTTTGAACCGAATGGATTTTCGAATCTTCCATTTTTAAAAATCGTTTTAACTTTTTGTAAATTACTGGATATTGACATTATTATTATTGTTATTATTATTATTATTATTAATATTATTATTTATTATATTATTTAAAATGAAAAGATAAATAAAAAATAAAAAAATAAAAAAAAAAATAAAAAAAATAATTTTTAAAAATATTTTTTTTTTTGGGGTTGTATTTACCAAAATAATAATTAGGTCATTGCGGTTTCTTTCAAAAAAAAGTATTTTTTATAAAAAGAGAAATATAAGTTTTTATAATAAAAGAATGTGATAATATCATTATTTTTGCTATTCTTGATTACACAACTATCAAATTTTTTTTTTTGGGGTTTGAATAATTATTATTTTAAAAAGGTTGAGATATTTATACTTTATATAACAATGATTTGCATATTTATGTGTGTATATCTAAATGTGTTGGTTTTATGGTTATATTTACTTTTAAAAAGAAAATTAGTAATCGCCTGGTATTTTTTAATTATATTTTTTTTTTTTTTTTTTTTTTTTTAAATTAAAATTTTAAAAAAAAAAATTATAAAAAAATAAAAAAAAAATAAAATTTTTTAATAAAATTTCATTTTTTCGTTTTTGTTTTTATTAAACCCTATATTAAAATAATATATTAAAGTATACTTGTATATACTACAAATTATAATGACATCAAATAAAAACAATAAATCAAATAATAAAAAAGAGAATGAATCCACTTTAGATAAAAATGATAATAAAAATAATAATTCAAATAGTTTAAATTTTAATGTTACTGAATTTATAAAATCATCAATCAATAGTATATTAAATAGTAATAACAGTAATAAAAATTTAAAAGATAAATATTCAAAGATTTTAAAAGACCAACAAATATATATATCATATAATGACCTTAAAGAAATATCAACCATTTCCAAAAATACAAAAAACATTATATATCTTCAAGATTTATTAAAAGGATCATCAATATACTATCCACCAAAGATAGTTCAACCTCCTGTAAGTAATAGTCCTCTATTTCTATTATTAAAAACCCATTATAAAAACTAATATTCATTTTACATTACAATTTAGACACCAGAACAAATTGCAAAAAAACAATATTTAGAAAAAATATCAAAAGAATATGAATATTCGAAAATGATTAAAAACATTTCTAAAAAAGATGAGGATAAAAATGAATTGGCATCATTTAAAACCCAACTTTCAATTGCTGTCAATATTTTAGTTACATTTTTTACACTTTTAGTAGTTGGTATGTATCTTGGAAACAAATGGTTAAACTCATTGGTTAAAGTAAGTTTATTTTTATTATTTTTTAAAAATACAATTGAAAAGATTTTAAATTTATTAACTATTATTATTTACTATTCAGGGTATGATTGTAGGTTTAGTATTTGGTATTGGTGGTGTCGCTGCTGAAGTTTGGTTGTTTGTTCTTAGAGGAACAGAACATGAATTGGGTAAAGAAAAATCTAAAAAAACTGAAGAGAAAATTAAAGATTTCAAAATTAAAAGAAGAACAAGACAAATTAAAAAGGAACAGGATCAAAAATTATTACAAGACACTTCATCAAATGATATTGTCATAAACTAATAAAATAAATAAATTTATTTTAAAAGACTTTTTTTTTTTTTGATAAAATAATAAGTAATTTAGTTTATTTAATTTTTTTTTTAGATGAAATAAAAAAAAAATATCGATATTGTTATTTATTAATATTATGTTTAAAATTACTGTTATTTTAAAATTATATATTGATTTTTTTGTAAAAAAAAAAAAAAAATAGTATGTTATAAAAAATACATTTGATTAAATAATTTCTTGTTCCCATTGCGATTCCCTCCTATTATTTCTTTTTTTTAAATAGTTTTTTGTTATATATTTTTTTTTTTGCTTTTTGTTTTTTGTTTTTTTTTGTTTTTTTTTTTTAATTAAAAAAATAATAATATTTGAGTGAAAAAAAAATAAAAATATTATTATTATTTATAAAAACAATAGTATTATATTAAATTAATAGTAATTAAATTATTAATTTGTTGGTAAACTATTAATATATTGAAAGTATGGAGAATCTTGGGGAATTAATACTTCTCTTTTAGCATAAAGATCTTTATAAGCATTTCTAATTGTAACATCAGAGACACCACTAATTTCGGCGATTTGTTTTTGGGTTCTTTTATCTTGTGGATTTGGTAATAATTGGGAGACCATATAAATTGAAGCTGCTGTAACAGAGATAGGAGATTTACCAGCTACAATACCCATATCCATAGCAGTTTTTGATACATGTTCTGAGATTTTTTTGACTTCGATTGGAAGTTTAAGAGTAGAGCAGAAACGACTAGTGAAATCTTCGGTTGAAATGGTTTGAAGATTCAATACACTAGAGAAAGTTTCTTTCATAATTTTATAGCATCTACTAATTTCTTTCTTTGGTACATTGGTAAGGGCAGCAATTTCTTTGAATGTACGAGAAAGATGCTCTTGTCGACATGCAATATAGAGAGCAGCTGCAACCATACCGTCTACTGAACGACCTTTGGTACTCTTTTTATCATCCATAAATCTGAACAATTCATTAGCACGATCCTGTACAGTTTGTGGAAGATTCATATGATCCGCCATACGACCAATCTCTTTGAAAGCTGCTAAAAGATTACGATCACCAGTTCCAAGTGCACTTTTATTTTGAAGACGGTTTAATGAAGAAGAGTCTCTGGAGCCTTTACCAATAGTAGTTGAAAGTGCAGAGTCACGGAGTAATGGATTGATAGGACCACCAACACGATTTGGATCAGCACCTGTTGACTCTGAATTTGAAAAGGTTCTCCATTCTGAATGTTCATCTACAATACGGTCACCAACTACGACACCACACTCTCTACAAATTAAATCACCTTTAGCATAATCTTCTATAATATCTGGATCGTTAACTCTACAAATTTTACACCATAGTTTATTATAAAATGATGGCTTTTTAGTTTGTGTTGTTGATGTTGATGTTGTTGTTGTTGAGTTAGCTGCTGCTGCTGCGGCGGCAGTACTAGTTTTGGCTGTTGAAATTAATTGGTGATTGGCTACTGATGTCATTTTATAATATTATATTTTTATACTATGTATATATGTATTGTTATTAATTTGATAGGAGATTAAATCTGTGAAATCTGAGATTGATTGATTTAATAAGAGTGTTTTTATTTTATATATTATTATAGTAGGTGGTAATGGTTTTTATTGAGTTGAAGAATACTAAAACAAATAAAACTTTATAATAAAAAGTAATTTCTTAAAAAATTTATTTATATTTAAATTTATCAATTTAAAACTCTAAAAGAAAAAAAAACATTTAAATATTAATATTAATTTTTTGAAAAAAAAATAAATAAAAAATACTACAAAAATAAAACTTATACATATTATATTTTTTTAAAATTTACTTTTTTTTTTTTTTTATTTATTTTATTTTAGACAAATAGTAAACCGATTTTAAAAAAATATAATATTATTTATTATTATTTATTTATTATTATTATAATTGTTTTTTTTTATTATTAAATTTATTTAAAACTATAGAAATCGAATCGAATATTAAATCCACAACAAAAACTATCGACTAAAGTAAATAAAAAAATAAAAAAAGATTATGACAAAGATTACAAAAACAAAGATAATAATTAATTAACTATAGAAATGATAGAAATAATAGCAATAGTATGTAATTTTATTTACTAAAAATAGAATTATCACCAAAAGAAATAAAAATAAAAAAATATAGTCTTTTTTTTTTTTGTTTTTTTTTAATTATTTGTTTTTTTTTTTATTTTTTTTATTTATTTTATTTTATTTATTTATTTTTTTAATTTAAAAAGCAATAAAAAAGAATAATAAATAATATATAAAAAAATCAAAAGTAAAATTTTAGTTTATTTACACACTATTTATTTGTTATTTTATTTGTTTATGTGCTGGAGGAAAAAAAAAAAAAGAAAATAAAAAAAAAAAATTTCATTTTAAAATTGAGAAAAAATTTTAAAAAATTTAAAAAAAAAATTTTAAATAAAATAAATAAAAAAATAAATTAAAAATTTAATTATTTTTTTGGATGTAATAATTTAAAATTTAATATTTTATTTTTTAGGGACGGTGTGAATGTGTGGGCGTGTGTCGGTGGGTGTTTAATTATTTTTTTTTTTTTTAAATTAAGAAAATCACATATTTAAACAATTTTTTAAAATAACTGTTTAAACAGTGCGAGATAATCAAGAATAGTTTCCAAATTAACGTTATAATAAAATATATATATATTTTTTTTACACATTTTTTATTTTATATTTGTTTTATTTTCATTTTTTAAAAAAAATTATTAGATTTATTATTATATATTTAAATTGGGTTGTTTTAAAATTGTTTATTTGGCTTTTTTGATGGCTTCATTTAATTCTGGAACAGCTTTGAAAAGATCAGCGACTAAACCAATGTCAGCAACTTGGAAAATTGGAGCTTCTGGATCTTTATTGACAGCAACAATAACTTTACTATCTTTCATACCAGCTAAATGTTGAATAGCACCGCTAATACCAACAGCAATATATAATTCTGGTGCAACGATTTTACCAGTTTGACCTACTTGTAAATCATTTGAAACAAAACCAGAGTCAACAGCAGCTCTTGAGGCACCAACTAATAAAAAAAAATTAATAATCAAAGTAATAAAAATTGTATATATATCATATTATATTATTATTATTATTATTATTATTATTATTATTATTATTATTATTATTATTATTATTATTATTATTTATAAAGTTTTATACATTACCAGCACCACCTAAAGTATCAGCTAATTCTTCTAACATTTTAAAGTTTTCACCATTTTTCATACCTCTACCACCTGAAACAACAACACGGGCACTTGTGAGTTCTGGACGTTCAGATTTAACAATTTCGGAACTTTCCCATTTGATATGAGTGTCATTAAGAGCTTTTTCAACTAATGGAACAGCCCAATCATTACCAGAAACTACTTTACCAGCACCACCTTCAGTTGGAGCTTTATCAAAAGCAGTAGTACGAACAGTACCACATTTAATTTTATCGGATGATTTAACGGTTGCAATAGCATTACCGGCATAAATTGGTCTTTGGAAAGTATCGGCATCTTTGATTTGAGTGATTTCACTGATGGCAGCAACATCTAAGAGAGCAGCAACTCTTGGTAAAAAGTTTTTACCAAAGTTACTGGCTGGTGTTAAAATATGTGAAATGTTTTCTTTATTTTGTAATTGAACAATGATTGGTGAAATAGTTTCGGCTAATGAATGTTCTAATGATGCATGATCAACACATACAACATTGTTAACACCTTTAACTTTTGATGCAGTTTCTGCGACACCATTACATCCTGAACCAGCAACTAAAACTGAAATATTGGTTGCACCTAATTTTGTAGCTGCTGTAATTGTATTTAATGTACCAGATAATAAATTTTTATTATCATGTTCTGCAATAACTAAACATGATGTATAATAGTTTTTTAAATAGGTTGATTGAATCTAAAGTTTAAAAATAAAAGAAATTAATATAATTATTAATAACATTAGTTAATTTTGGTGATTTTATTATAATATATTAATATGTAGTGTAGCAATTGTTTGTTTTTATGTATTATGCTATAAAGTATAAGTGGTGGTATATGGTAATAGAAAATGATAAATGATAAATGATAAATTATATAGTATTGCTTTTATTATATATATATTATTTCATAATATAAAATATGATTATATTGATAGATTTATAAATTTTTATATTATTGTTCTCATATTATTGTTGTTTTAATTTTTTTTAATTTTATTTGTGAAATATTAAATTTTTATGAAAATAAAGGTTGTGGTTTTGTGTAGATTTACATTTTTTAATAAAGTTGATTTACTGAAAGTATTTAATCTGTACATTGTGTGTGTTGTGTAATGATGTTCAAAGATTAATGAGAAAAAATAAAATGAATTTAAAAAATTATAAAAAAATAAAAAAAAAATTTTAATTTTTTTTAATTTTTTTTTTTTTTTTATTTTAATTTTTTTTTTTATTTTCTATTTTTACTTTATTATTATTACTTTGAAAAATAAAACTAAATGAGGTAAGAAAATTGACCAATTTATTTTAAATGGTGATGACAGGAAAATAAAAAAAAAAAAGAATTTAAAGATTATAAGCTTACATATTGAAGAATGGATTTGCTCTTGGCAGGATCATTATCAATTGAAATATTATTAGAATGGCTCTTGCCAAACCAATACCAAACTAATATTTATACATTATTAAGATTTTGATTTTAAAAAAAAAAAAAAAAAAAAAACCAAACATATTATAAAATATATTGTCTTGACATTGGGGTTACCTTCTTATTGTGTTAATTGAAACCTGTGCATTATCACCAGATTTGTCCAATATATGGAATGTCCCTCCCAATAATATATTTTTTATAACCCCTTCAATTCTATCTTCCAATATTTGTTCAATTGAATCATTTAATGAATAGTTTCTCAAAATATTTTTAATTGTTGAAACCAATTATTTATGTTTTTTTTGAAGAATATTGTTCTTTGTTAGAATGTAGTGGAACCTTGTTAACTTTCTTTAAATATAATAGAAAAAATACAACTACTAAATTTATTTACTTGTTTTTTCATAAAAATGAATGTTGATAAAAAAAGTAATAAAAATGAAAATTCATCCATTTTTTTAAATCGGTTTATATAAATTTAAAACTTCTGAAAAAAATTCACTTGGTAATGAGCCGGTAGAAATACTAGTTTAAAACGAAAACTGAATGTGAGGGTTGTGAAACTATTTGGTAAAAGAATATTAATCATGACAGATTACTTTATTTAGTTATTATTAATTTTGAATTAAGGAAAAAAATTTAAATATATAGCAAAACAGAGTAATAAACAGAGGGGAATTAAAAATATTAGGTTTTGAAAAATTAGTAATTAAATTATTACAGTTGAAATATGCCAGGTGGAATTACTTGGTTAAATCGTCACCAAGTGTGAGTTTTGTGAGACTATTAGGTAATGTGCCGGGTAGAATTACTTGGTTATACTCACCACCGAATGTGAGTTTTGTGAGACTATTTGGTAATGTGCCAGGTATAACTACTTGGTTAAAATAATTACCGAATGTGAGTGTTGTGAGACTATTTGGTAATGTGCCAGGTAGAACTACTTGGTTAAAACAATAACCAAATGTGAGTGTTGTGAGACTATTTGGTAATGAGCCAAGTGAAATTACTTGGTTAAAAAGTTGACCGAATGTGAGTGTTGTGAGACTATTTGGTAATGTGCCGGGTGTAATTATTTGGTTATAATCACCACCGAATGTGAGTGTTGTGAGACTATTTGGTAATGTGCCAGGTGGAACTACTTGGTCAAAACAAGAACTGAGTGTGAGTGTTGTGAGACTATTTGGTAATGAGCCTGGTAGAACTACTTGGTTAAAGCAATAACCGAATGTGAGTGTTGTGAGACTATTTGGTAATGAGCCGGGTGAAATAACTTGGTTAAAAAGTTGACCGAATGTGAGTTTTGTGAGACTATTTGGTAATGTGCCAGGTGAAATAACTTGGTTAAAAAGTGGACCGAATGTGAGTGTTGTGAGACTATTTGGTAATGAGCCAGGTAGAACTACTTGGTTAAAACAAAAACCGAATGTGAGTGTTGTGAGACTATTTGGTAATGGGCCGGGTAGAACTACTTGGTTAAAATCATTACCGAATTTGAGTGTTGTCAGACTATTTGGTAATGAGCCAGGTGGAACTACTTGGTTATAATCATGACCGAATGTGAGTGTTGTGAGACTATTTGGTAATGTACCGGGTGAAATTACTTGGTTATAATAATCACCAAATTCGAGTGTTGTGAGACTATTTGGTAATGAGCCGGGTGTAATTACTTGGTTAAACCAATCACCGAATGTGAGTGTTGTGAGACTATTTGGTAATGAGCCAGGTGGAACTATTTGGTTAAAATAATTACCGAGTGTGAGTGTAGTAATTGTATTTGGTAAAGTTGTTTGTACCATTTTAGAAAAATGGTACAAATATAAATTTGTCAAAAATGGTGGAAATTCATTTTTATCTGGTAGTGGGTCACCATACCAATTAAGTGTTGTTATATATGATTTATCTTTAAACTGGTCATAACGGGATTTATCTAGATCTACAATACTATTCTCAATAAATTTTAAAATATGTTTATGAATTTCATTTCTTAAAAATATATTATTCCAAATTTTATATAATAATCTATAATAAATAGTTAAAAGGAGAAAAAACTAATTAATATGCTTTTAATTAATATTTATTGAAATGTATTGATTTACCTATCACTAATATTACTACTGTTTTTTAACTCTTCATTTACACAATATTTAATTAAAGATGATAGTAGCCCATCCATTATCAATATAAAAAAAATAAATAAAAATAAATTAATTTATCAAAATTTAAAAAAAAAATTCCAAACAAAAAATGAAAAAATTAAAGAATCTAAAGAAAAAAAAAAAAATAAAAAAATTGTAAGAAACACAAAGCTGTAAAACGGGGGTAACTTCGCCATATGTAAAAAACTTTAAAGATTTAAATAGAAAAATATATTTATATTTATAACACACAACACTCTTGTTCTATCATACGAAAACAGAGACCATTACTCGCTCTAATAGTAAAATTGGGTTTTCACAAAACGGCAAAAACAATTCAAAGAAAAGGTTTTTTTTTTTTTTTTGTTAAATTAATATGTTTTTTTATTCGTTTTAATTTGTCACCAGATGATTCCCTTAGAAATATTTTTTTGCGTAGTGCATTGGTGGTACATTGGGATGTTCTACAGCTTTGAAAGTGGTAATTTTAACAGTATCTTCGGTAAAGTTAAGGAATGAACCAAGATTACCACTTTGATCACAGTAGTTTGGAGCAGAGAATACGGTAATCAAAGAGCCATCGTTATCAACTTGATAACCTTTTTCTTTAACTTCATGGGATCTAATAATAGTACAGAGGTTATTTTGTTTTAAGAATTTTCTGGTTACATCTGGACCAAAGTAAACACCAACACCTCTTGAACTTGGGGCAACGCCTATTTAAAATTAATCATGATTAGTAAAAAAAAAAAAATATTATATTTATTTTAAACAACTGCTTACCTGGGTTTGATTGTGGGTCAGACCATAAAAGACATTGAACCAAATCGTTATCGACACCTTCTGGAGAATGTCTATTGATTTTTCTAATGTCGTCTAATGTAACACCGTCTCTACCAAATAAACCACCATGGACAACCATAAATGAATCGTCTAAAACAAAGGCTAATGGGAACCATAAAAATAATTCGGAAAATAAATCGTATACCATTTCACTGTATTTAGCAACAACCTCACCTTGGAAACCATAGAAACGGTTCATATCAACTGATTCGTGATTACCACGAGTGAGATGCATGTGATTTGGATAGAGTAATTTGAATGCTAATAAACAAATAATAATTTCGAAACTAAAACTGCCACGATCTACAAAATCACCATTGAAAAGATATGGTTTGTCCTCTGATGGAAAACCATTGATTTCGAAAATATTTAATAAATCGTAATATTGACCATGGGTATCACCACAAACTGTAATTTTCATTGTTGTATCGTGATCAATATCTACTAAAGTTGGTAAAGACTTCATGATTTCGAATGATTGTTTTAAAATCTTGCAAACATATTTCTTGTGTGGAAGCTTTTGTTGTTTCATATATTCTACCATTTCAAAAACAAATTCTTTTGTAATTTTTTCTCCGTCAAAACGTGGTCCTTTATATGAATCTTCAACAGCTATAATAAATCGATGATGATTAAATTAGTATGGCTGCTGTTATTTGGGTGGTTTTACTATACTTACCCATTGATTCGAGGTCTAATTGTCCGAAGTGACTTTCTGAGGTAACTAAAATTGCATCTTCAAAAAGTTTGGCATTGATTAAACTATTACAAAGATTAAATTTAATTTTTGCATCCTTTTCTTTTGGTTCTTTGTTTAAAAGCTCTTTAAAGTTTTTTTTTGCTTCGTTATAATTGCCTAATGCTAAATGTGCGCTACCTAAACGATAATATGCTTTGATATAGTTTGGATCCATTTGATGTGAAATTGTTGCATCTTGAAGTGCATTAACATAATATTCTCTTTTGAAATTTGAAAAAGCTCTGTTTGAATATAATATAGCTGTTGGGTAATATTTAATTGCTTTTGTGTATAGTTCTGTTGCTAAATCATATTTTTGTTCTAATAGTTATGAAATATTAGTTTGGAACATTATTTTTTTGGTGTGTGTGTATTATTATTATACTTACCAGCAAAATATTTATTTGCTTTTCCTTTAAACTCATCAGATTTTGCTATGCACTCTTCTTTAGTTAAAGTTGATGGGTCAATATCATTGGTTTCTTTTGCTGCATTATCTGGTTGAGTTTGAGAAGCTTTGGTTGGTGCTAAATCATTAGCTTCTTTTTTTCTTCTTGGAATTTCAATAGTTTCAACTTTGGTCATTTTAATTTTATTTTTTTTAAAATCTATACAAATAAAAGCAACTATTTAAATTTAAATATTTAAATAAAAAAAGTTAGATATATAAATAAGACAAAGTATTTAATGATTTTAAAAAAAAACAATTTAAAATTAAAAACAAAAAAAAAAAAAAAAAAAAAAATTTTAAAATTTTTTAAAAAAAAAATAAAAATTATTTAAAAAAAATAATTTTAATTAAAAAAAAAACAAAATAAAAATAAAAATAAAACTATTTATAACTTTTAAATTCAGTTAAATATCGTTTATAAATAAAGTTATCGTTTATTATAAACAACAAACATTTTTTAAATAAATAATTAAAAAGTAAAAACGAAAATTTTATATTATTTTTTCATTTTCCATTTTCACACAATTATTATATTTTTTTTTATAAACAATTTTCTATTTTTTTTACATGTATCTAGTTTTAGCATAATGACAGAAAATAAACAGAAAAAAAAAGGTTATTTAGATTAAATATCACCAAATTCTCAATAAAAAAAAAAAAATAAAAAAAAAATAGAAAATCCAGAAAATCTATATTTATTTTGATAAATTTCTAAAAAATAAAAAAAATTATAATTTTTTCCACACTTTAAAAATTTTTTTTTTTTTTTTCTTTTTCAAATTAATCTTTCAACATAAACATAGTTGAGTGTATATAGGGTTTAAACCCCCTTATACCATTTTTTACCCACAATAAACCAACCTTATGCCCACCATCCCCACCTAAACACTCCACCACAACCCACCCTACCATCCATTGTTTTATTTAATAGTAATAATAATTATTAGTTTTAATTAAATAATAAAATAAAAATGGATAATACCTCATCACTCTCCAAACCCCAATTTTTTAAAGGCAAATCCTATTGTTTGGATCTTCCAACATCATTAGGTTCATTAAAAAAAACAAAATATCTTCAATTCATTAAAGATCATGGGGGTAGAGTAGATTTTTCAATCACTTCAAAAACCTGTTATTATGTTACTTCAATTGAAAACATTACCAATCCATCAACTAGAACCAAAACAGCACTTAAAACCAAAGTTCCAATTTTATTAGATACCTATATCTATGAATGTTTTTCAAATGTCCAATGTATTGATATTTATGACTATTTATATATCGATGGAAAAGTAAATATTTAAATAATAATAAATCTCACACTAAAAAAAGAAAAACAAAAATTAATATTAAAAATTTAAATATAGCCTGCTTGTGAAACAATTCCAAACTTTTTCAACATTGAAGAAACCATAGAGCAATCAATTAAACAAGCTAATTTTGTTTTAAATAGCCTCAAACAATCATTAGTTTGTTATAGTGAACATAGCAATAACAATGGTAATAATAATAATAGTAGTGATAATAATAATTTTTTTAATGAATTAGAACCAGAAATCGAAAAAGTTTCAGATAATGATAATGATTCAATGTTTTCATTCAGTCTTTTTGATAAAGAGCCATCATCCCCAAATAAATTAGACAAGGACGATGACGATGATATCCGTTCAACAACTTCAAGCTATTCAAACCTTTCAAATTTTTCATTTTTATCCGAACATTCATTTAAAAAGAAACCACTTTCTAGATTTGAACAAATCCTTTTAGAAAAAAAAGAACAAACCCAAAAAAGAAGAGAAGAATTAAAAAGAATTGAAGAAGAAAAGAAAATTGCTAAACAAGAAATATTAGACCAAAAGAAAAAAGAAAAAGAAGAAAAATTAAAACAATTACAAAAAGAAAAAGAAGAAAAAATTTTACAAGAAAAAGAAAGAAGAAAATTAACTTTAGAAAAAACTAGATCATCACCATTATCTACATTTACATCTAAACCAACTTTATCAAGTAGGTTACTTGCTCCAAAACCAACATTTGGTGGCAGTACTGCTCTTCATTCTGAGAGCAATTCAATTAATCCAACATCAACATTATTATCATCCAAATATTCAACATCAACTACCTCATCTCTATCCAGTGGCTTATTAAGCAGACCAAGCAGTTCTTCATATTTAAAAACTAGCAGTTTCAATAAAACCACTTTTGGTAGCAGTAGTATTGATAGTAGTAAAAAACCAAAATCAAGCTTTAAAATCAAAATTGACCACGAAGCTATTAAAATTCAAAAAGAAAAAGAAAAACAAGAAAGAGCTCTTAAAGCCGCTAATGATTTATTAATTAAAAAACAAGAAAAAGAAGAAAGAACCAGAGCTTACTTTGAAGAAAAGCAAAGCGAAGAGGATAGAATCGAAAAAGAAAAAGCTCAAAAGAAAAAAGAAGATTTAGAAGCCTATCTAAAGAGACAAGAAAAGAGATTAAAAAAGGAACAAGAAGCTTTAGAAAGAGAAAGAAAAGAACAAGAACCACCAGTTGCAGAGTTACCAAATGAAGATTTAAGAAAGTTATTTGTTGGTGGTATAAACTGTGAAGATTTAGATGATAAAACCAAGAGAGATGCTAAAAAAGTTGAAAAGATTAAACTCAAAAGACTTAATTTCCTTTTACACCATTTTAGTGCATATGGCGAAGTTCAAAAACGTGTTGTTAAATTAGATAAAGGTGTTTTCTTTATCACATTTAAGAAAATCGAAAATTGCGAAGCTGTCGTCAAACACTATTCAAACATGGAAAACAAATTAAAAGCAATTGAATCAATCAAACTCGATCCAAAAGCAACACCACAAACTACTCCAAACAAACATTTTTATGTTAGAAGAGTTAAAAACTTTGATAATGCCAAAAAGAAAGAAGTAAAAGATATAGCTGCTAAAGAAGCAACCAAGGTTCAAGCTCAACAAGATTTAATAAAAAAGAAAGAAAGAGAAGATAATGAAGGTTTTGAAGATTGGACCACTGTTTAAAATTAATTTATTTCTTTTTTCAGTTTTAAAATAAAAATAAAAAACATATAAATAATTAAATAAATAAATAATATATGGTATTCTATAAATATAAATAACTATAAAAAAATTAATAATATTATTAAGCTATTTATTACTCCAACTAATCTATTTACAAGTACTTGTACCACCTTTTTTTATATTTTTATTATTTTTTTTTTTTTTAATTTTTAAATATTTAGTTTTTTTTTTTGCATTTTGGAGGAATTCATTACCACCATTGTTTTTTAATTTTATTTCAGTTTATTTTTTGTTTTTTCTAGAATAATTAATAAAATGAATAATAAAAAGCATAACTTTAGTAGAAACGATGTTTATGATCAATTTTGGGATTTTGAATTTAGAGAAAACTGCACAAATGAATGCCTCCAAAGTTATATATAAAAAATTAGAGATGGATGTTGTTAGGGCCCAAACTATTTTAGATCTTTACAAGTCACTTAAAGTTCCTGAAGATGGTATTATACCTAAATTTAGTTTTATATTACCAAGAAGAAAAAAATTTACTACAAAATAAAAAAATTCAAGATTTAATATTAACTTATAAGGCCTAAACTTTCCTGATTTAATAAAATTATCAGATTTGAAAAAAAAGAAAAAGAAAACAAGAATTCAGAAGAAATTGAAAGCTTTTTTATTTATTTTTATTTTAAATTTTACAAAATTTTATTTTCTTCTGAAATATTATTTTGTTGTGTGTTATTTTCATATTCCACCGACATTTCACAGTTGATGACATAGTTGATCATCTATTCAAAAAATAAATTATAAAAAATAGTGTTTTTATTAATTTTTTTATTGTTATTTATATTTATAGAATAATAAATATATATTAATATTTTTAAAAATTTTTTATTTATTTATTTATTTTTATTTTGTTTTATTATTATCAGTCTTGTTGGAATGTAGTTGTAGTTGTTTGTGAATGGTAGAATTAATTAAGTTTTGTGAGACTATTTGGTAAAAGAATATTAATCATGACAGATTACTTTATTAAATAATAATTAATTTTGAATTAAGGAAAAAATTTTAAATATATAACAAAACAGAGTAATAAGCAGAGGGGGAATTAAATATATTAGGATTTTGAAAAATGTGAGACCACTTGGTAATATGCCAGGTGGAATTACTTGGTTAAAACATTTCCCGAATGTGAGTGTTGTGAGACTATTTGGTAATGTACCGGGTAGAACTACTTGGTTAAAATTAGTACCGAATTTGAGTGTTGTGAGACTATTTGGTAATGTGCCGGGTAGAATTTCTTGGTTAAAATTATCACCGAATGTGAGTGTTATGAGACTATTTGGTAACGTGCTGGGTAGAATTAATTGGTTAAAATCGTTACCGAATGTGAGTGTTGTGAGACTATTTGGTAATGAGTCGGGTAGAATTATTTGGTTAAAATAATAACCGAATATGAGTGTCGTGAGACTATTTGGTAATGAGTTGGGTAGAATTACTTGGTTAAAATAAAAGCCGAAATCAAGTGTTGTGAGACTATTTGGTAATGTGTCGGGTAGAACTTTTTGGTTAAAACCACTGAATATGAGTGTTGTGAGACTATTTGGTAATGTGTCGGGTGGAATTACTTGGTTAAAATCATGATCGAATGTGAGTGTTGTGAGACTATTTGGTAATGTGCCGGGTGGAATCACTTGGTTAAAATCATAACCGAGTGTGAGTGTAGTAATTGTATTTGGTAAAGTTGTTGGTAGCATTTGAGAAAAATTGTACAAATGTAAATTTGTTAAAAATGGTGGAAATTCATTTTTATCTGGTAGTGGATAATAATGCCACTTAAGTGTTGTTATATATGATTTATCTTTAAACCGGTCATAACGGGATCTATTTAGATCTACAAAACTATGCTTAATAAATTTTAAAATATGTTTATGAATTTCATTTCTTAAAAATATATTATTCCAAACTTTATATAATAATCTATAATAAATAGGTAAAATGAAAAACTAATTAATAAACTTTTATTTATATTTATTGAAATGTATTGTAATTACCTATCACCAATTTTACAACTGTTTTTTAACTCTTCATTTACGCGAAATTTAATTAGAGATAATAGCAGCTCATTCATTGTCAATATAAAAAAAAAATAAAAAAAATAAAAAAAAATTTTTTTTTTTATTTTTTTTATTTTTTTTTTTTTATATTGTCTATAATTGATTGATTTATATCTTTATACTGAACTATTTGATTATTGAATATTTCTACCAACTTTACCTCACCATCAAAACTGATTAAATTTAATTTTGACCTATACAATAGCAGTTTAAATTTTTTTTTTTTTTTTTTTTTGTCCAGGATGCCACAACACTTTAAGGTTTAAAATTTTTTTTTTTTTTTTTTAAAGTTACACATAAAAACCAAATCTTTATTTAAAAGAATTTTTTTTTTATTTTTTTTATTTTTTTTTTTATATTAACAATGGATGAGCCACTATCATCTCTAATTAAATTTCGCGTAAATGAAGAGTTAAAAAACAGTTGTAATATTAGTGATAGGTAAGCACAATACCATATAACACAATAAATATAAATAATAGATTAATTAAAAGCATGTTAATTAGTTTTTTCTCTTTTTAACTTTTTATTATAGATTATTATATATAGTTTGGAATAATATATTTTTAAGGAATGAAATTCATTAACATATTTTAAAGTTTATTGAACATAGTGATAAACATCTTGATAAATCCCTTTATGACCAGTTTAAAGATAAATCATATATAACAACACTTAACTGGCGTGGTGATCCACTACCAGATAAAAATGAATTTCCACCATTTTTGACAAATTTATATTTGTTCAATTTTTCTAAAAGGTTACCTCAAAAAACTTTACCAAATACAATTACTACACTCACATTCTGTAATGATTTTAAGCAAGTAGTTCTACCTGGCACATTACCAAATAGTCTCACAACACTCACATTCGGTCATTATTTTAACCAAGTAGTTCTACCTGGCTCATTACCAAATAGTCTCACAACACTCACATTCGGTTATTGTTTTAACCAAGTAATTCCACCCGGTTCATTACCAAATAATCTCACAACACTCACATTAAGTAGTTGTTTTAACCAAGTAATTCCATCCGGTATATTACCAGTTTAGAACACAAATCCGTATGATCGATAATAAAATCAAACAAGCCAAAGCCAACACACCACTCAACCCATCTTCCTCCAAACTAAGAGAAATACGTACAGAAATCAGAACCAATAGAGCAGAAACAATTTCAAATCACGAGATAACTGGTTTCCGTACTGAACTTTCGACCGAAGCTACTAGTATAGCTTTTAGCAACAACAATAGCCTAGACCGAAAGACAACAAGAACAAAATTAACCCTCTCCAATCAAGAACTTCATGATGCCAATGAAATATTTGAAGAGATCATTACTAGATTATTGGCAGACAATACACCACTACTCGACGCAATTAGTAAGACCATTTATGCTGTTGCAACTTCTATAATCAAAATCAAGTCCAAAGGTGACAAAGAATCCCTACCTCAAAAGGTTGCCAACGACATTATCAATGATAATAAATTAAAAATCAAAGATATTAGTAGACAACGACGTATACTTGAGGCTGCTTGTTCAAGGTTAAGAAGAGGTGGTAAACCAGGTTCAAAGGTGATTAAAATGGTTATGAAAGAATCCCCAGAAGCCCAAACGTTCAACATCAAATGTCTTAGAAGGGTTATTGCTTCCATATGTAAACAAAAAGACACGTACAAAGCTGCAATTGCAAAATGTATGAAACAACACAAGTTTACAGTAATCAATAATCTAATGGCCACTGATAGAACCAAAGCCTTTGGTATGTTATCTAAATCAAAACCTAATATATTGCCCGACGAATCTAATCAATCTGCTGTCAAGAAGCAAGCACACGACTTCTGGTCAAAGTTATGGAACCCACAAGCCCAACATGACTTTGTCCCCCATGATCCAGACTACTCCCGTTTGAAATGGATCAAAGATGTCAACAAAGTGGTTACCAAGCTCAAGATCAAACCCACAAAATTTGCTCCAATAGACTCAACTTCTGTTTTTAATTACATTAGAAACAAGAAGAACTGGTCCGCCCCTGGCCCAGACATGATCTGCAACTACTGGATCAAAAAATTGACTAGCTCCCACTCCTATATTGCCACTGCTTTCTCCGATGCTATTGATAATAATGTATTGCCTGACTGGTTCTGTGAAGGTATTACCTACCGTGTTTTTAAAGCCGGCGACCCTAACTCAGAATCTAACTACCGTCCAATATCTTGTCTCAATAATCTATATAAATGTTTTACTGGCGTATTACTAACACAACTTAATGACCACACTCTAATAAGGAACAATATCATTCAAGAACAACAAAAAGGTGCCAAACCTTCTACCTGGGGTACCTACGAAAATTTAACTGCTGACCGTTTTGTAACTGAAAAGGTAAACTCAAATGACCTCAACTGCGCTTGGGTGGATCTCATAAAAGCATATGATTCACTCCGCCATGACTTCATTGTATTTGCTCTGGAATTACAAAAAGTAGATAAAGTAATTGTCAATGCTATCAGGTTGGTTATGTCTAAATGGAAGACTCGTATCTTTATCAATAGATGTACCAAAACTGATTTTATCCCAATTACCAATGGTATATTTCAAGGTGATGCTCTTTGTCCACTCCTCTTTTGTTTATCCATTAATGTTGTTAGTTTATACATCTCACATATCCATAACCCTCTAGTGATTGATGAAACCAAAATATCTCACCGTTTGTACATTGACGATATCAAACTATACTCATGTAGCAATGAAGCTTTATGTCATACACTGGCTGAAACTCTTACTGCATTCGCTGATATTGGCCTGAAAGCAAACAAATCAAAGTCCGCTGTCTTCCTAGGAGAAAGTGTTGCTGCCCGATGTTATCAGTGTCAAAAAATTTTAAAGAAACAAAACTATCTTTCTAGAAATTATATGCCTGACGACTTCCCAGTAGGTTCCCGTGTATGTAGTAGTTGTGGTATGTTTTTCAAAAAACATGGCCATTTCAACACTGAACAGGTCCCTCTGGTAAACGGTGATAACCCTTACTTCGATGGTGTCGACTTATTCCAAGGTATTCAAAAAGTTTCCAAAGATACTCCGTACAAATATATGGGTGTCTACTTCAATCCAATTATTGATATTGACAAAAATCGTGAAGTAATTAACAGAGAAGCAATATCTAGGGCCAACAGATTATTCAAATCCGAATTGTCTGGTTTCAATCTAGTCAGTGCATTCGACTCACTTATTGTAGGTTACCTCAGATATTACTGGTTTTTAGACTTTTCCCTAAAAGATATTAAAGCACTTTCTACTGCTATAAAAGAAATAATGCGTTCTAATGGAATAAAACATCCATTCATGTCAAATGACTTCCTCCATTTACCTCGTAAATATGGTGGAAGGGGGTTTACAAACATAAAACAAGAATTTATGGTTTATAAAATCACTACATTACTCAAATTTCATGAAAATATTAAATTTTCTGTATTTATAGGTGATGATTTTGATCTTTACAAAAATTCAAGTATTATGGTACCTCCTCCATCCAGAAGATATGACACAGCCTGTCATTACGCCTCAGAACTTGGTTTTGAATTATCATTTGCCGCAAATGGACTGTGGACCGTAACTATTCCAAAAGTCGATGACGACAATGTTACCACTTATACTGTTTACTCAAACAATGAAAATGCAGAACAATCTGATAAAATGTCATCCATCATCAAACACTTTACCAATCTTCAATTATATAAACGTGTAAAAGAAGAGGAAGTAGGTGTTGCAAAGAAACGTTTGTGGAGAAGATTTCATGAACATTGGATACACTGGATCAAAGGTTGGACCCATATCCCGGCTCATATCGAAGCAACATTTTGGGAAGCAGTTTTGTCGTTATTACCAAACAGAATGTCATTAGTTCACCGTGATGCAAGTTCAAATGCTGATAGGAGATGTAGGTTGTGTGCAAGTGCTGATGAATCAATTGAACATTTAGTAGGTGGATGTACAGGTATGAATAAATTCGGTAGAATCACCCGTCATGACATGGTTGTTACTGAAATCATTAAATCACTTATTAAACGTTACAAAATCCCCAACATCACAAACTTCAAGGCACCCATCTTCTCAAATTCTTTAAAGGAAAACAATCAAACCATCATCAATGTTGAAATCTTACGTGATGTCTGTTTTAAAAACACTGACTCAATACAAAATAAACCTGATATTGTAATCATTGATAAAGTAAAACACATCATCCGTGTTATTGATGTATGTATCCCTTTCGATGGTAATATGCTGTTCAGACAACATGAAAAACTATTGAAATACGATTACTTCAAAAAACACTTTAAGAACCAATACAAAGACCCAGATGGCAGATCATTTGATGTACAAATAATCCCAATAGTCATAGGTGCATTTGGCAGAATTATAACTAAAGAAGTTCCCCACACTGAAAAAGATATAACTCTCACCATCAAATCCCTCAAAGATTGTTTAAGTCTACTTCCACTTCCTGAAACCGAAAAGGTTCATTTGTTCAAGAAATTACCAAGAAAAGCAATAATTGGTACTATCCTATCTCTCCAAAGTTGGACCCAAAAATTTAAAGCCTCATAATAAGAAATCAATTGTTAATTTTTCAAATTCCTATAAATTTAATTCCCCCTCTGCTAATTACTTTGTTTGCAATATAATTTTTTAAAAAAAATATCTTTTTCCTTAAACATAAAATTAAATAAAGTAATCAGTCATGATTAACATTCTTCTACCAAATAGTCTCACAACACTCACATTTGGAAGTCTTTTTAACCAAGTAGTTCCACCCGGTACATTACCAATTTGCATATATTCATTCATAAAATTTACAAACATAATGAAAAAAAGTCAATTCATATACAATTTAAAACTCGCTGTCCACTAATATTATGAAACATTTTGTGCAATTTATTAACATTTTTAAAAAACTATACCCAAAAAGAAAACAAGTTAATAAGAACAAACACAAGGTTATATTTTTTAAACTATGATATGTTATTATCCAAAAAAACAATATTTGTCATAATACATATGATTTATTGAACAATTAAAAATAATAAAATAATATAATCCCCAGATATTTTTAATTTCCAGGGTTTGAATAAATCTTTTTTTATTAATATGTATAATTTATTTATATTTTATTAAAAAGTTTTATAAATTAAAAAACAAATTTCTCTTTTTCGTCTGCTTTGATTATATCTTCTTCTTCGTAAGTTTTACAAAACTTTTCCATATAACTGACCCTTGGTAAAAGTTCTAATTTTTTTATATAAACACCAATAATATATGCCTTTTTTGTTTTAACTACTATGCATCCATGTTTTTCATTTTGACCGTATACTCTGTTATTTTCTCTGATATAAATATTATATTGCTCGCCCATTAGTTGTATAGTGTTCCATTTCTTTATATTTTTAAATCCTTTTATAATTTGATCGGCCTCCCCCATTTGTGGTGATTTATTATAGGCTATTGAAGCGCCATTTAAATTTAATATTATTGTGGCATAAAATAAATTATTTTCTAAAAATTCTTTATAGAATTTATCTTTACGTTCAATCATTTTTTTTTATTATTGTTGTTGTTAACTATTGTTTAAAAAGTTTATTTTTGTTTAAAATCCAAAGGATATTATTTAATTGAATTTTAAGAAAATAATTAGTATAAATTTTAATATTTTAAAATAAAAAAATAAAAAAAAATTAAAAAAAAGAAAAAAGAAAAAAATGAGAGAAAGAGAGAAAGAGATAGAAGAATTTTATAATAAGCAAAATAATAATTAGATTTAATTAATTTTAAATCTTTTATTGAGTATTTTACCAATTACGAAAAATAAAAATAAAAATAGATATCCCACACTATATACAAAATTTAAAATACATACTACTAATTATAATTACTAATTGATAAAGTTTATTTATTTAAATTGTAAATAGAACTACTATTATTGTTTTTATTTCTTTAAAAAATTATTATTGTTGCTGTTGTTATTGATATTGTTTTTTTAATTTTGATTTTTATAATGTGAAAATAATAAATAAATAAATAAAATAAAAAAAGAATGTATAATTTCTTTTGTGATTTATATATTTTTTTTTTTTAAAAAAAAAATATTTTTTTATTTTAATTTATATTTTTATTTTTATTTTGAATAAATATAGCTGTGTTTTTTGTGAATTTCTATTGATAATTATAAATATATATATATATATATAATATGTAATAGAGCGCTTAAAGATTTTATTGATTAAATAAATAATAATGATGGGTGATGATGAAATAATAACAAGAAAAAAAAAATAATTTAATTTTTTTTTTTTTATAATAATTTTAATATATTTAAAACAAACGCTATCAACATATACTTGTTATATTTCTTCTTTTTTGAGTAGAGATTTAATATATTGTGTGTCTAAAAAATGGGTGTTTTGATAGTGGTTGTTTGTAATTAATAATAATTTAAAAAAAAAAAAAAAATTAATAAATACTATTATCTTGGATGAAAAGTATTGTGAGTGGGTGGTGGAGGGGTGGGTGATTTTTTATTTTTTTTTATTAATATATTTTTAATTCATATATTAATATATTTTTTTTTTCTAGTATTGGTAGTGGGAAAACTTAGCTTGGTTATCATAATAATACTCAATATTTTTTAATCAACACACTCATGTATACTATCATTTATACACTATTATAATAATTTAAAATTAATAAAATTGGTGCATGTACATCACCCCCTATACAATTTTAGAAAGAAATAATAACAGCTTCATAAATTTGGAAATTAAACACCAATACCAAATTTTGAAAATATTAATATACATCAAAACAAATTAACTATTCCTAAAAATTAACGATAATTTTTAAATCTAATATCACGCACACCCACACCCCATTCAATATATCTTTTTTTTATTATTTTTATTTTTTTATGATATCATAATTATATCTTTTTATCTAAATGAGCAAATGATTGTGTAATAATACCAGTGTATTTTTTTTTTTTTTTTACTATTTCTTTTTATAATCATACCAAAAATTTAACACCCATTATATTTCTTTTTAATTTCTTTATATTTTTTTTTTCCATACTTTGAAAACTACTACTTTTTTTATAACTATGCTAAATTAATATTGAAAGTAAAAAAAAAAAAATTTAACCTCACAACCCAACACATCAGCAAAAAGAATCATCAAAATTATTATAATCAATTCTATTATTATAATTAATTTGATTTTTAATTATTTTAATTAATATTTTAAATATTTCTTTTCCATTAATTTAAAACTATGTAAATTAATTAATTTAAATTTAAATTTAAATTAACTTAATTTTATGAAAATTTAAATTTAACTGTTTTACAAACCCAAATAATATTTACACTGTGTGAGGAAAAAAATTTAAAAAAATAAAAAAATAAATAATAATTTTGCAATAGTATAAACAAAAATAATTAATTTTGAAATAAACTTATTGAAATAAATATAATAAAAGTTTTTTTTTTTTTTTTTTTTTTTATTCATATGTTTTCTAAAATTACCATCGTTGTAATTATATGTTTTAATTATTTATATTTTCTTGAATTTATAATACAAAAATAAAAAAAGTTTTTTTTTTATATAATTGTATCCATAACACTGTCTAAAATAATTGATTTTACTGCATCAAAAACAAATTTAATATTTTGAGTATCGACAGCAATTGTAAAATGAGTATAAATATGCTTTAATGGGTCTTTTCTAACATTTTCATATTTCTTTTGAATAAATCCTGATACAGCTTCGAATGTATCTTCACCTTTATATCTTGGATCATAAGTTTTGAATGGAATCCTCTTTAACTTTTCAATAAAAATATCTTTTTTATTTAAAAATAGTAATATTGGTGCTTTAGTAAACCATTGACTATTACAAATTTCTGAAAATAAACTTAATGATTCATCCATTCTATTAACATTTTCTTCTTCTCTTAAAAATTGATCATATCTAAATTTTAATTTAAATAAAATTAATATTAACATTACAATTAATTTATATTATTATATAAATTAATTTACTTACTCGCTTAATGCTGCAACAAAAATAACTGCTGAAACATTATCAAAACAATGAATCCATTTTCTTCTTTGAGATCTTTGGCCACCAACATCTATAACTTTCATATGAATTGAATCGAAATATAAATCTGCTTCAACAATACCTTTTGTCATAACTCTTGCTCTGAGAGCGTCCTGAGGTTGTGGAATATAGTCTGGTTGAATAATACGTTGTAAATTGTTAAAAAAGCTATTTAATAAAGTTAAAAATAAATTAGTATAATTCCAATTTAAAATTTAAAATTAATAATTTGAATACACTACTATTCTGCTGAGTCATTTAATTGAAATTCTTTATCTCTTTTTTCAAATATTTTTTTAACTGCTTTATCACTCCATAAATGAACACAATCCTCACCAATCTCTACTGACCAATCGTCAGTGTGATGATTTCTTGCCATTATTCTATCAGCTCTTTCCTTTTTTTTTTTTTAATGAAATTAATTAATATATTATTTTAAATTGTTTTTTTTTTTTTTTAAGGCTATACTTACTTTATTTGCTGGCTCTATTTCGATCCCTGATTTTTGAACAGCATCTAATAATACATGAAGTTGTGATGTTAAGTTAATGAAAACAGTATTACGAAAATCTTTTAAGGTATCGATATCCCATTTTCCATTGTCTTGTAAAATTTTAAGTTGTTTAAAGATGGTAGATTTACCACTTTCACCAGCCCCTAATAATAAAACTTGAGTTTTATTTTTAAAAAAGCTTTTTTCATCCTTTAAAATTTTGTCAATTTCAAAAGAGGCTTTCATACCTTCATTTCTTGAAAAACATGCCATTTTATTTATTTATATATTGCTTTTTATTTGTTATATTGGTGTAAAATGTATTTTATATTTTTATATTTTAATTAGAATATTACTTTTTATTATAATGCTTTGTAGTGATACATATATAAATATTTTAAGTTAACGATTTTTTTTTTTTTAATATGATGATGATGTATGTGTGTTATGAGTGTGTTTATGTGGTTTTTATGCGTTTTGTGATTATTTACAATAAATTTTTGAACAATATAAATATTTATCTTATTTTTTTTTTGGGGGTAAAAGAAATCTTTTTTTATAATATAAAAAATAAAAAAAAAAAAAAAAAGAAAAAAATTTAAAAAATTAAAATTCTAAATTTAAAAAAAAAAAAAATTAAAAAAAAAGTTTTTTAGATATTTTCTTTATTCAAAATTTATTATTTTATTATTATTTTTTTTAATTTTAGACTTTGGATTAATTATCTATTGGGACTCCAATGTTGATGGAATTATCTGCATTGGCCTTTTGGATAATAAAAAAAAATAAAAGACGGGGTGTTTATTATCATTTCTGTTTCCCCACACCCATGAATAAACATGCTTTGAAAGATTTTTTCTCATCATTTTCAAAATTTTAAAATTATTGTCTGGATTATAAATTTTCTATTATTCTATGAACCAATCTTATAGAAAAACCAATTAAAAAATTTAAAATCCTTAGGATTTGAAGAGCTACATCAGGGTTTTTTTTCCAAAAAAAAAAAAAACCAGGAAATTGAAACTTGGGGAATATTATTCAAAAATATGAGGGTTCTTGTTTGCCAATGTATTG